TCTGTCTGTCTGTCTGTCTGTCTGTCTGTCTGTCTGTCTGTCTGTCTATTTATTTCCCGGATATATTAGTGTGTGGTTGAAAGGGTGAATAAGGTATATTAACCCTTTATAGGGCACTCAATGAAATACTTTAAAATTAAAAAATTCAACCTTAGAGTCTCATTGGACAACATAATAAGACTTTATTCCAATTGTGACATTTTTGAAATTTTTTTATTTTCATGTTGAAAATCGAGTTCAATGAAGTTACCATATTTGGTAACTTGCCCTTTAGTGGTAAAAATGTCAAGGCCAATGAAGTGATCAAATTTGGTCACTTGCCTTTAAGTGGGAAAACAAATTCCAATAAGTATACATAGATAAAAATACATATAATGCAGGTACTGCACTAGCGCCGGGCTGGTGAAAATGTTATCAGCATAGATGGCTGTGGTGGTGGGGAAGGACATGGTACTGGCAAGGACAGATACAATCTGGCTGGTGGCACCTAAGCCTTCTTGTTCAGGTTTCAGGGGAACATCATGGGCCTCCAGGGTAGTCCTGCCCTGGTTTAGCACAATGTCATGGAGGAAGCCATCCTCAGATGCCCTGGCAAACAACTTTAAACCCCACTTGTCTGGCTTGCTTTTGATATATTGCCTCAGGTTGTCAAGTGGCAAAAATCACTCATAATTACTATTCATAAACTAAAAACACAGTGTTGAAATTGAGCAGAATCACTGTATAGTGATATAAAAAACTTTTGCGACCTTAAAACATAATATGCTAAGTTGTATTGCTTTATTTGTAAAGAAAATGCATAGTATGTTTTGTTAGATGCATTGGGCATATGTCCAAAAACAGACATTCCAAGTAAAATCTAGTTTTTAGTGAAAAGGGCATATGATCAAATATGGTGCCTGCATTTTTCATGCCGTATTTTCAATAATTTTAATAATTCCTCAGCAAACAACTTGTATGTCAACACTAAACACAACTATTCAACAATAAAATGTATGAGTTTCATCAAGTTCACATGGTTAGTTTTGATGTTTCTTTTGAAAATGTCCAGTGAACCGAGCTGCAAAAGTTCATTTTTCTGACTTTGGAGAAAGTGTCCGGGGTCTCTGCTGATTGGTCAAACTACAAAACAAAGTAACCTATAATGTAGGGTGATCTTTGCTGATTGGCTGGATAAAGATAAAATTATTCTAGAACTCACTGAGACGGGGGGGTGGGTGCGAAAACTAACAGGTGCCTCTGACTGCAGCGCTGAGAGGGACTCCTGCTGGAGCGGGAGAACGGGGTTGGGAGGGGGGAGGCGCCCCACGGCAGCAGCTGCCGCTGGAGGACAAGATTATGAACGATACGTGCTTTCACATAAGAGTCCCCAAAAGCCGCCAGTGACACCGGAAAAGTCGCCAGATTTGTCGCTAGTCGCTTTTTCGAAAAAGAGTCGCTGGAGGGGTCTGAAAAGTCGCTAAATATAGCGACAAAGTCGCTGAGTTGGCAACGCTGCTCCAACCCAGTGTTTGAAAGATTAATTTAACTATTTTTAAATTAATGTCTATATTGCCATGAGGCATTAATATATTCTTGCCTGGGATTTTCCTTTTGGTGACGTAATCAAAATGGCCGATTTGGATGTGGGCTGAGACGGATATGTATCCTACTTGATTAATGGTAGCATGTTATTATTAGCCATTAGCCGCAGCTAGCAGTTCAAGGCTAACGTCACGTTAATGATCATAAACAACGTAAAAAAATACATAAATAAATCTGAGAGAAGGGGCGCAGCGACGGCAGGTCAGCGTCGCGCACGCGCGCTTGTGCGGGCTCGCGCGGACTAGCGCGGGCTCGCCCGGTGGTATCGATACTTTTGAAAATGAGTATCGTATTCGGATACAACATTTTAGTATCGATACTTTTTTAAGTATCGATACTTTTGACAACCCTATAACCTACGCATCTGTATTAAGTGGTTTTTGACTACTTTAAATCGTCAAATACACTGAGAATAGCTCCTGTGTCGTTGTGAAGGCGTGACGTCAACATCTCACCTCCCATGATGCAGCGCGGTGGATTTATAAACGTTCAATTTGAGCAAATAATGCATTTACAATCATTTGTAAAGAGTAACAACCCTCTTCGTCACTTTTCAATATAAATCTAGTAAATACCGCAACATTTTGAAAATGTCGACGCCTTAGCTGTGTCACCGTGATAGTGGAGTGTATGTCGGAGAAAGACTTACCCCAGCTCGCCAGCTAGAAGTCAGAACACTCATGTTTCTCTTCAGATCGTATAAATCTTTCGCCTTTTACTAAAGATTTCCGTGGAGAGGAACAACATGAGTTTTATCTAATTTTTTGATGCCCGGCGCAAGCTGGGCTTCCAATTCAGTGAAGAAAAATATATTCAATAGAAAGAGCAATCTCACAAGTGCCGGAATCTTTGCTGTGTAGTTTATTCTTTTGTCCAGCAGAGGGCGCCGTCACTCACCATAAATGAACACAAAGTGACGACTGATAACAGTGGAATCAACACAAAACAGACATAAGAAATTTACATTTTTTAAGTATCGTTTTATTCTTAAATACTGCTTTTATTCTACTTCTATGATATTATAAAAGTGACTTACATCAGCCTCAAAAGTCCCCTGATGTGTTTTTTTTTGTCATTCTAATTTATTTCCCTGCTATAAACCTAACAATAAGGAAACATTTCCACATTTTCTGGATACTGTACTGTTTATTGTTATTATGTCAGAATGAGTCACCAGCATATAAAAAAAGAAACGATCCTAATAAGTAAAACAGTGCTAAATGTGTTCTGGGAAGTATGGTTCAGGTTAGACTTCCTATTTCTTGCGGCCGCAGAGCTGCAAGCGTGTCACCGTTCGCCTGACTGAAGAACTCACGGGCTCTCGGAACAGGAAATGAGCGCGAGACGGTGGAGCTGCAGCAACACGGCGGGGAGACTCTCCGATCTGAGCGTCTGGAAACGGCTCTGCTCCGGCCTCCATTGGGCCCACGCCAAAGGAGGGGGGAGCTTTGAGAACCAGTCAGGTAAGGAGACAACTTGTCCCACGTCCAAACCTTAGGGTGTGAAACTCAATGAACTGTTTCATCATGAGTTAGTGGAGTTTTTTTTGTTTTGTTTTTTGTAAGAGTGTGTTTCTTTAGATATTGTATCTGTTTTAACCCCTCATTTCTAAAACAATACCAAATTACCTGACCGGATAGAGTCAAAGGAGAGAAATCTACTTAAAAAAATCAATCAGAATCCTTCACAAAGTCATGATGAAAGGGAAGGAATCATGTATTTTCTGTGGAGCCTCCTCTCTAAAAAGTTACACCATGGGTGTGATGTAATGTCTCAGATGGGCCTCTGGTCTGTGTTGTGCTGCCGGGAGGTGTTGGGTGGAATAAAACCCGAAACCTTCGGAGCGCCCGCTGCCTGAAAAGGTAAACTGAGATTGCTGGGTGACGCTGATCCGCCGGCGGCGGGCCGAGGCCGGCGCAGCTTCCTGTTTTGTGGCGCTGAGTCGTCTGCTCCTTCAGCTTCACGCAGTTCTGCAGCGGCGGGCACGCAGCTTCCTGTCAGTTTTTCTTTTTTTCTTCTGCACAAAGAACGAAGGCATTCCCTCCTACAGCATTTTGTTTCTACGAAATCCCTCTTTTTGCACAAAGTCAAACCCCATCTTTGGACAGATTAGTGGAAAAAGCCACAAGACACAGATGTAAGGGCCTGAGAGCCCCCCCCCCCCCACCCCTCTCTGTACCTGAGCCTTTGGTTTAAAGGACCGAAGGAACCCTTTAAAGGGAAAAGAGATCATTAACCTTGAATAAATCCACTACTTGAGGGCAACAACCCACTGGAGACACTACTGTGCCACACTGCCCTTCTCTGTAACGACACTTTTTAACAATTTTGCGATCATTGCAGCGTTTAAGAGGAATCTTTGTTCGTTCTGGCTGGATATGTTATTTCAGCCGTCTTATTCCTCTCCTCATCCATTCATTATCGTAAATGTAAGCAAAGAACACCTAAAACAAATGCAAAGAACGAAATATTTGATACATTTAGCATGTTAGGAAAATTGACCTGTTGACATAAAACTATATATTCTAAAAAAAAATACAACAAATACAACAACCGGGAGGCAGGTTTGTACCCATCTGCTCACATGATTCTCCTTTTTAAGCTGCGTGTTGTTCTGAGAGTGTGGCCTTGACCCGTGCGCCCTGCTGACCACACCTGTCCTCTGTTTTCAGGCCCCAAACATGTCACTTCTGAGTTCCCCTTGACCCCCGCCGGGCAGCATGGAATTGGTGTGGGTGGAGCACGAATACCAGTACGAAGCCAAGGACGGGCGCCTGGTGTCCATTAGGCCGCGCGAGAGCTACATCCTGGTGGCCAAGACCAACGAGCACTGGTGGCACGTGCGCAGGGACCGACACAGCCGGCCCTTCTACGTCCCTGCCCGCTACGTCAGGGAGCTCTCAGCGGATGACCGGTCCGGAACGCAGGAGATGAGCGGGAAAACGCCAACGCGCACGCGCCCGGAGGCCCCCAGAGAGACCCACCGCTTCTCCACCTTCGGTCTGTGCCACGACGCAGTGGCCGAAAAGCCGTCGGAGCCTCCGGGGGACACGCCGGACGCCAAAGGGACCAACTTGACCCCGCTGACCCCGTCCAACGAGGCCCTCCAGCTGTACGCCAAACCCCACCCGGCGCCAAAGGCCAGAAAAGACCAGCGGCGGCCAAAAAGCCCCGAGCCAGAAGCCGAGGCTCGCCTGGATGATGAGGAGGACGAGTTCCCCTTACCCCCTCCTCCCATTTACGACCTGATTCCAGAGATCAGCATCACCGAATTTGACGCTTTTCCCGATCTGCCTGATTTTGTCTGCCCCCCTCCTGAACCAGCATCGAGTTTAAATCACACAGAAGAAGCGGCTCCTCCTACGGACGAGCAGGTAAATTTACAGATAAATCACTTTGAATTACTTAAAAAAAGTTTTTCAACAGTCATTTACTAGAGTGAAACCGAAACACTTCCCTTTGCTACCAGCAGAGGGCGCAGTTTGACCAGCTATCAGAGTTAAGCTGCTTCCTCTGGGACCTGCTGATGCTTTCAGGGCTGATACTGCTCAGTTTTTACAAACCTGACTCATGAAAATGGATGACAGGCATATTGGAGCCTGACCTGAAACACATTTAACCCGATGGCTCAATCACAGTCTGTACTCACTGTCGTCCAGAGCCAGGTCAGTCCAGGGCCAAAGAAAAGCGGGATGAGGGCCGGTGTTTGGGCCAAACACTCTTTGTTGTTCGGAAAAAAGGCCATAAAGTGGAAGCTTACCTTTGTTCAGGATTTGTAAAGGCAGCAAAAGCACGGGGATTGATTTAACAAATGAGAAACGGCACAAGCACGCTTCCGGTTTGAATCAGGTCTATTATGAACATGAGCTGAAGCAGACAGTTCATCTAAAGCATTTAAGGGATGAGATGTGTGCAGTCGTTCATTTGATTTGAAAGACATAAAGAAAGAGATGTAGTTATTTTAAAGGCATAACAGCGGTTTCCAAAAGATAGAAGCAGGTTTGAAATCAAAAGAATCAAAACACGAAGGAAGGAAGGCAAAACCCGGCCCTGACAGCAGATAAAAGGTCATTTCAACGTCATGGAAACACAAATAACGAAATAAATAATGGCGACTACCTCGCCCAGCCGTGCTGAGTGCTGTTCCTGAGAGGAAGCGTAGGCTCAGAAGGAGCCGGTGAGGCTGAGAGCGGACAACAGATCCCACATCGTTCGGGCAGAAAGTTAGAAAGTCGGGTTAGAAAGTATCAGATCGGTGTGTTCCTCATGGCTGATCACAGACCAGAAGTCCTGTTGTGGTCTGGATCGTGTGGAGGAGGTCTTACAGGAGAGCCAGTAGTGGCGGTGGTCCTGACCCATCCATCCATCCATTTTCGTGTATCCGCCTATTCCCTAATGGGGTCACAGGGGGACTGGAGCCTATTCCAGTTGTCCAATCAACCTAAGATGAGGGTTTTTGGATGGTGGGAAGCCGGAGAACCCAGAGAGAACCCACTCAGACACAGGGAGAAAGGCCCCGGTCCAGGTTCAAACCGGGATGAAGTCTGGACCTCGATTGAACCGCTGCGGTTCGGTTCGGTTCGGTTCTTTCGAGGCATTTGGCCGTAGATCTGCCGAGCTTTAGCCAAAAGACGCGGATCAGTGTGGAAAACCTGTGCCCTGAAGCCCGTCAGAACAAGCCACACGCGTCTGTTTCTAACTGTAGTGGAGTGACCTTTAACCTTTAACATGCTAATGGAGATTTCTCGTTTTTAAGTTTATTCCTGCGTCGACCCCACAGAGAAACAAACAATTTAGATGGTTGTTCATTCTTATGAAGCGCCAATTTGAACTTTTAAGTTACTTATTCTTTAAATTACCTTTGACAGAGTGTAGTTTTGTTATTAGCGTGTTATTACATGGATGGACTCAAGTGGACTACTTTTCTCCAGTGATGCTCGTCACACTAGACATTTTTTCACACATTTTACCTGACACTCAGCTCTCCTTCTCTTGGCTCGTCAGCATGCTCTGGTGTGCACAGAGGGACCGTCAAGTTCAGGACTCCGTGGGGGGTGCACTGAGTCCTCGATCTGGTCTAAAAAAACCGAAAACCTCTTGCAGGCTCTGACACTTTGCAGGGAAGGTCTCTGATGAGGTCAGTGTGTGTGTGCCAGCTCATTAGCATCTGAATGCCCCCGGTCGTCCCCCTCATGCTCCCCCCCCCCGCGGTGGGCAAAAAACGGGGTGTTCTCTGAATGCCCCAGTTACAAGCAGCTGATTCCACGTCTCAGGTTTTTGGGATTTTTTTTCCGGCCCAAAGTTTCCCTCGTAGCTGCATCGCCAGCTCTGGGTGTGTATAGATCCCATTTTGATTCCACCTCTTCTTTCGTGCCTGTTTGATCCTGTCGGATAAAGTTTGCGAGGTGGAGGTTTGCAGCAGTGTGCGTTTTGGGTTGGAGGGTGAGGGGTGGGGGGGTTGCCACCCGCTCCGAGTCTTTGAATTACGCAGCGCACCGGAGATCAAACTCCAAAACAGGTTACAAACAGGTTGCGTGAGCTGGGCGGCCCGTTCCTGAGGGGGGAGGAAGGAGTTAAATCCGAGAGCTGTCAGCCACTCCCAAAACCTCCAGCTGCTACTGTACCTGGTTTCCCAGCACCAGCCGAGATCCTGGGAATTACGATGAACCTGTGCCGCGGGGACGCCATGAAACGCGCACTCGAATTTGGTTTGGCTCTCTCTCGGATGTAGTTTGCTGGAAAACCTTTATCGGGAAACCTTTTGCTTTAGGTAAGTCTCACGACAGTTGGCTGTCTTTTTTTTTTGCACCTGTTGCAAGAATAAGTGACGTCAGGCCCGCTGGGGAAGGAGAAAGTGCGCAAGTTTGAAGCTCAGTTTCACCCAAAACCTGTCCACATTTGAACCAATTCTCTTAATATTCAGGCATTTTAAGCCTTTGGCTTTGAGGGCGTTATTACACCGTAATTACAGGCTGCAGGATTCCCCTCATTTGGAGTGTGTGCGGTGCTTTTCCTCCTCTGTGGAAACATGAATGAACCCTCTCACTTGTAACAGGACCACCAATGTGCCAGGACCCCTCCGGTGCATTAATTCTCACCCCACAATGGAGGGCCATCTCCATGGTGATGTGAGGGGTTGGGGGGGGGAGGGGGGGGGGCTGGCCTGACTCCCAGCCAGCAGGGCTTTGGAGCTGCCAATGCCAGCCCTGCCATGCAGTCGTGTGTGTGTGTGTGTGTGTGTATGCACATTAGCCCAGATGTAAGTGGCCTGGGAAGGGCGTGTGTGCCGACATGAAGTTTGACAAGTGGATACAAGTCCAGTTTTGGATCGAGACTCCCAAGTATCAGGTTGCAGGAGGTGGTTGTTTACGGTTTTTGTGGACGCTTAGATGCTTTTTAAACCCAGGAGAGTATTGAACATGTGTCAAACGACTCATTATCTCTGTAAGTTTGGATGATTAGTGTGGGGTCCAATGTACGATGGATTTCTAGTAAGTAACGTGGCGCCCCATGGTCCCGGTCATTCACTCTGGGTTCCCGCACCCCACATCTGGGCCTCGGTTTCCACCCGGCAGGTGGGAACTGCAGAGTTTCTCAAAGAGAACATCCCCTGAAGCCAGGCCCTACGTGCCGTTTTGGCGAGGCAGACGGAATCAAATGCCGAGGAACTGCCCCGACAGGTCGTGTGAGTATCTTGTCAGACCTCACTGTACAAAACACAAAAAAAGTCCATCCAGCATCAAGCGACAGGTGCGCGCAGCTTCCTGGTGAAGGAGAGCCTTTTTTTTATTTTTCCCCCCACCCTTTGCTGTCACAACGCGTTAAGTCACAGGCAAAGGCAGCCAAACATGTGCCGGCCTAATGTTTTCAGGGCTGCACATAGGTGGGAGGACAGGCTTTGTGGGGTTCATATGTTGTGTGAAAACAGAGCACAAGGCAGTTCTCTCATTATGTTTTTTTTAATTATGTGTTCACATGTGATGGCTGAAACATGGTTGAAACATCTGGTCCAGTCTGTTACATTTATAGGCAGAGATGTGGAAACACAGTCCAGGTAAAGAACACCATTATTCCGAAAAGCCTGACATGAAGTCAGGCTACGGATTTTTAGATGAAGTTGTGAAACTGCTGCCTTTTTTACCAATACGTTGAACGATACGGGCAAAGGGCAAGCCGTCATAAACGGGTGTTTCAAAAATGTTCTACTCAAATCATGTGATTCACGACTTTTATGTCATCCTGACCCGTCAATACTCAGCTGTAGAGAGGACATGAAAGGTTGGATCGAGATACTGGTTACATTGGATATATTTGAATCTCTAAAAAAGCTATTTTTTTCCTTTCCTCCACTGATGGCCCCGGTACAGATGCTACAAAAATGCACTGTTTGTATTTGTTTCAGTCAGCAGGATGCAGATACAGGCATTGAAGGTGCGCACGCCAATTTTCTGAGTGGGAATGGCTGACTTTTTTTTAATCTACGAAAAGAGACATTTCTAAGGTGTAGACACCCACATGCAGGAGGCTCAAACCGGGCAGCAAATTCAGGGAAAAAGGAGACAGAATTGATCAGTTTTACCTGAGTGTTTTATGTTTAAAACACTTTTATAAAAGACTTTTCTAACAGCCCCAAACCTTTGCCAAACAAACAACAAGCCATCATCATATCTAATATGTACAACAATCTAAAGGAGAGATAATATTCTCATAAATAAGATTGTAAATATTAAGAATGTCAGAGACTACATTGTAAATTACAGTGAAAAAAAGCTTGGTGTCTAGAGTCTTGTTTGAAGGTCGACTCCTTTGGAAATGGAGTTAAAAGTAAAGTAGAACAATTCTAAATAGAGTTTAAGCTCATCTTTGTCACCATGCGCTGCATTAGTCACACACTCAGGAATGTCATTACCATTTGTCAAACGTCCTTTTAAAGCTGCAATGATTGACTTGATTACAGTCGTCCAGCTGTTCAGTTATTGGTATACACGGTATTTTTAACTATAATTATCAGCAGGTTCCCAGAGGCGACGAGGTGGCGGATGTGTGGACAAAACTTTTCTGTGGGTTTGTTTGCATACCGCCTCATGACGCCACTCAGAACCTAAAGGTCTAAAAATAGCCAAAATAATGTGGAATCTTTGCAAAAGTGTTGCAGGAGGGAGCACCGCAAGGACCGAAACGTCTCCCCTCCCACACAGAAAAACCCTTCACCCGCTTGTGTAGGAGTTCGGAGGAATCTGTCACTAACAGTCAATATCTGGGGGTTTTTAGCTGGTCAGAAAGGAGACGTGGCCCGGCCAGCAGAGATAAGAAAGGGGCTGATGAGGTCCACCTCTCTGGAGTCATCCTGGATTCCACACCATGACGGGGGTGATGTAAGAGGGAAAGGAGCCAGTGCGACTCAATAGCTCGTCTGTGTGCTTTGTGGCGTGATTTGGGCCCCAATTTGGCGCTCCATTGTTTGATTGGATGAGTGCTAATGCGGTTTAAGTAATCAAGCAGATTGCTGCTTCATGCATTGCTGAGGTCAGAGGGTTGACCGCCCGCGCCGGAGGACGCGTTCACCGGATTCATTTTCAAAAACATGCTCCAGAGAGTTGGATTCACAACAGTGTAAACTTTTTCAAGTATTTTCTAAGGAACAGTTTAGCTCAGGTTTTATAGGAAGGTGACGTCTGTTGCATTTCCAAATGAACAATACGTCTCCATATGCCATAAATGGCATATATAAAGGAGTGCCCTGCTTTCTCAGACCTGATATGTGACTCACCCAAACCCAGGAAACCTTTGTGAAAATGGCCACCAGCTGCAGGCCGTTTTAGAAGGAAGTGCCGATTGAACAATTGAGCTAAACAGAAAAACAACAACACACTTCCTGTTTTAAGCAGTTAACCTCGTGGAATCTGCAGTTGTAGCCTCTCAGAAGTAGCTCCCCCTTTTTACAAGTGGAAAATTATTGCTTCCTTTTTTTTCTTTCTTCCTATCATATATTGCTACAGTGAGCTGGTACGGACGGGTTCAATGCTAGTACGCACCACACAGGAACTGCTACTATCTTATTTCTCTTGGTCTTCTTTCCAGTGTCTGTGTGTTTTTACGTTTACTGTCATTTCCTTTCTTTATCATATGGGTACACAGTCAGGAAGTGGGTTGAAATGACCTGCAGAGCTCAACTCGTTTGTTCTACTTTGCCATTTTTCTTGTCTTGCTTTCACTGTCTCTCTCTCTCTCTCTCTCTCTCTCTCTCTCTCTCTCTCTCTCTCTCTCTCTCTCTCTCTATCTCTCTCTGTGTCTCTCTCTCTCTCTTTGCTTTAGGCTCTTGCAGACAGTTACCCTCTACCCTCCTGTCCTGCATACAGGAACTCATGCCTAGGCACACACAAACACAGACTTTGACACACACACACACACACACACACGCACACAGACATCTCACCGAGTCCTCACACAATCCCTTCCTGCCGCTATTGTAACGGAGCTCACAGTTCTCCTTTCTTTCTGGGCTGCGAGTGTCACAGCTGCTGTTGGAGGAGGATGCATGTATGAGAGGGGGGGGTTAGGGTTAGTTTTTTTGAGTTTTTCTTTACCCCATCACAAGTCGACCGGAATGTGCTCGCACAGTTAAGTCGCAGGTTTCGGTGTCCATTTCTGCATTTGGCCGCATGGATGCTCTAGTCTAGACAGACGGACATGAACATGGTGGACATGTACTCCAGGGTCTGGACAGGTCAGCAGGCCCCGCGGGGGCTGATTCTGCCCGCGGCCGCTCAGGTAGGTGCTCGCTCCGCCGCAGAGAGAAGCTGGTCGGCCCAAATTCAAACGCGCCTTTGTTGATGTTCATTTTTCTGTCAAATGTTTTGACATCTGCTTTGCTTCCTGTTTCGCAGAAACTAACCTCCTGTGCACTTGTTTTCTTTCCCCGTCCAAAGCAAAATGACGTGAGCGGTGAATCGGCAGCGCCCTGCTTTTTACAATGTTTTTGACCTTAAACATTTGTAAAGTGGAAGTTAAAAACCACGTCGCCCTGATTGTCTTTTAAAGGCTATAGAGAAACTATATTGGGTCGTGAATTACGATCATATCTGTCCTCCAGTGGTGGGTCACGAGTTTAAAAGTTCCATAAACATTTAATAGCAACAATATCATGTCATAAAACATAGGCTGTAGTTTTAACTCTGTCAAGAGCAGTGTTTAAAATGAAAAACACAACCGTGTATCCATAGATTAAAGGGAAAGTTTTTGGATGATCCATTTTAAGTATAAAAAAATTAATTATTTACAATAAGTAAAATGAGTCGGAAGTCATCTCTACTAACATACAGGCATATGTTTTTGTTATCTTTGATGAAATGACTCCTGGACAATGAGAAATCCTAAACAAATTGTACCTGCCTCTATCAGGTAAATGGGAAGAAGGATGTAATTGAAGTGAAATAGTGGAAGACAGCAGTAGTAACCAGGGTATTTATCTCAGTGTGAGCTATCCGTGTTTGGATTCATCTCTCTGTGCGTGGAGCTGGGTGTTGGTGGTCAGGTCCAGAGGATGGGGACATCCCACTGTTGTCATTTCAGAGATCAATGAGGCAGCGCTTTCATTTCCTCTGTCTGCCTCTGTACAGATGGCAGCGCGTTGTTTCAAATCAATCTGTTTTCAGGTCACTTTTCTGGTTGTCCACATCAATTGCCTCATGAGTATATTTAGATCAATAATGAAGAGAAATACAGGCAGAAATGCTCCTGTTGTGTAAATCATTAGCACATCTAAAGTACAATTGCTCATATTGAAAATACATTTTTCTTACAGAAACCTCATTAGCATTTACATCAATTTACAGACCAGGCTAGCCTGGTGAAGCTTCTTGTAGAGTTTACATTACAAAACTTCCCATGCATGGAGAACATAACTGTAAATTTGAAGTTGATTGAGAAAACATTCTTTTTCTCACAAAGTATTGATGCAAAGAAACAGATTGAGATTCCAAGACTTGAAGCCAGCTAAGACTTGATGGCACACGTATTTTTGCCAGCATCAGTTGTCGGCTCCTGAACTCCCGAGCCGGCCTGCTGACCTCTGGACCGGTCTGTCACTTCCCAGCGGGAGTTGCAGCTCCAGTGAGGGAGCACTGTGTTGTAAAAAAAAAGATCTATCTAACACAAATACTGGTACCAATGAGCTGTGCTTGGCTTTTCGAATCACCACAATGCCAAAAAAATAACCCTCTTGACAGCAACAACTGAGATGAAAACAAAAAAGGGTCACTAGCTCACCTAAAATAGCAGTTGAGTTGCTGTTAAAGACACACAAGACTCACACATTGTGTTACCTCAGTGTGCCCATCTTACATCACACAGAAACTCGTACTAATAATTGAATTAATGCTCCCAAATGATAAGGATAACATACGTTTGGCGGGGAAAAACGAAAAATGGATTTCATGGGGGGCAGCATGGTGGTGTGGTGGTTAGCACAGTCGCCTCACAGCAAGAGGGTTCTGGATCCGAGTTCCCGGGGGAACCAGGACCTTTCTGGAGTGGAGTTTGCATGTTCTCCCTGTGTCTGAGTGGGTTCTCTCCGGGTTCTCCGGATTCCTCCCACCATCGAAAAATCTCTATGTTAAGTTGATTGGATATTCCAAACTGCCCTTAGGAGTGAGTGTGTGTGGTTGTTGTGGTCCTTGTGTGTCTCTGTGTGGCCCTGCGATGGACTGGTGGACCGCCCATTGAACACTTAGATAGGCTCCAGGCCCCTGTGAATAATCGGTTACGGAAATGGATGGATGGATGGATTTCATGTGGTTGTTTCAGTTGACCTAAGCTTGTCATATTTTTGATAATGAATCTTTTTTGAAAATGATAAATGTGCAAGCAGCAGAAATTTGGACGTTCCTTGTTTGCTTAAACCAAATGCTGAAATTATTTTTACTTTGGCCTCTTTCTTACCACTTTTTAATAAATGACTCATTGTTGGGTTTTTTTTCCTCCTAGTAAAACAAACGTTTTTGTAGATAAACATTAACCACAGAGATTTTTCATATCTTAAAATGATCAATCGTAAGTGGAAATGCTAACTGCTAAAAGACTGGCTTTTTTGGCCCTGCGTGTCGACTTCTCTGACATGTTTCCCCTTTCAGAGTGGCGCGTTTAATAGACTGATGAGCAGATACAACCCAAAACCAGACACAGGTCCTGTTAAATATAGATCCACCAGCAAGCCGTGTGACAGAATGTAGTTGAAGTTTAGCCTGAAACTGACAGCACTCACTTCTTTTATTCGAGCCACCGTAATGGCGAAAGAAAGGCTGCTCAGAGCTTTAAATACAAGGACTTTTACCAAGAAGCTGAGGCGCTTCAGTGAGGCCCAGGTGAGAGAACATGTTCCACTTCGTTCTGTTTCCTGGCATATCTGTGATTCCACTTTATTTTGGGCAGAGCTGAGAACAGAGTTAACCACTCACAATGCTCTCTGCCACTTCCACTGGCTTTCTGTAAACAAATTAGTTGTGCTCACAGGGGGATCATTTGCATGCAATGTTCCTGCTGTGCTGCAGGTAGGAGCTCTGCTCATCAATGACTCCTCTATGAGTGAGGGCTGAGAATGGATCTGGTTTTTAACGCCGTGGAACAGTGATCGGTCTCTGCGCTTCGCAGCGTGCGTGGCTGGTTTTGCATTCAGACCCAGGTTTAAGCCTGGTGGGGGAGTTTCACCCGGTTTTCCGTCCTCCGCCGTTGTGTTGTGGTCGTTTGGTTTATGGTGCGTTTGACACTCACATCGTGTTGATCATATGCGGTTAACTTTGGAGGGACTTACAAAATGTTTAATGGTGATTTCAGATGAAAAAAGTGTGTGCGTTTTTTTCTGGGGGGGGGGGGCTGTAGACGACTTCCTGTGCTCTTAGATGCGGAAGGCTGACTTGTGGGAGGACTAATAAGAGCAGTGGGGTGAGGAACTGCTCAAAATGTGTCAAATGAACCTTTACATCACCGTAAAATTGACCTGGAGAATAAACACACTGCTAGGCTAACAGTAAATAATGCACAGCGAAAATAAAAGGGTTTAAGTTGTGTTTTGTATTGATTTTTTCTCATGATTTTTCCCTTTCAAAGGTACAGAATGACAGTCTTGGGGCCGCAGTGTATGTCAACGTAGCACAGCTTCGCCGAAGCATCTCAGAGTCTCCCCCGTCTGCCCCTTCGCCCACTTTCCTCGACTCGGAAGAATGGGAGGTGCACGTTGACCAGGACAGTGGACAGGAGTACTACTACCACCCCGCCACGGGGCGCACCACCTGGGACAACCCCTTTTTGAACTCCCCCGCCGGCTCGGAGCAGCTCCCCGCCGAGGAGCCCTACTCCTTCACGCCCCCCCAGTCTCCTGTGCTGTCCCCGTCCGCCTCCTCCCCCCCTGGGTGGGCCTCAGACTGGGAACAGTTGGTGGATGAGACCAGTGGTCGCCCCTACTTCTACAACCCGATGTCCGGGGAGACGTCCTGGGAGCCTCCGGAGCAGCAGAGCCCGTACCCCCCCCTGATCGAGCCCATGAGTGTGCACAGGTTCCACCAGGACGTGCCGGTAAGGACGGCCTGGCTGCTCCACTTAGCCCGTCTCTGTCTTCCTGTTTTAGCTTCACCCAGGGGAAAGCTGTAAATACAGTCTGCTTTAATGGAATTAAATCTCCTGCACCTACATAGCAGACAGGACTCATTTCATTAGCAAAAGCTCACAGCTCCAGTGCAGAAGTCCCCAGAAGAGCTTCTTACTTGTAAAGACCAGAGACTTCTGTCCTCATTTTGAATGAACTGCAAATGTATGATAATATATGTGTTTATGAGTGAGTTATGAGCCAGTGCTATATCATCTGTTGTTTTTATCACAAGAAAAACGAGTGACCTCTTTTATTTTCCTGGGAGGACTAAAATTCTGTGCTGCAGAGGCTGTAATAATGGGCCAAGAAAGAATAAAAAATTTGAGGTCACGAAAGTGTTGACTGATATAGGAAAGTCATCGAAAAGTCACCGGTGGCTAAATGAGGGCGACAGTGGAAAGTGATCCAGCCCACTCTTACATTTGTTCTGTGTGTCGTAACATTTCAACACAAACAGTGAAATCGGGAGGGGCCGGCATCCCTGTGTGTTGATTGCTTCACCGCTTTCAGCCCTTTTTCGAGAGTACCAAAGCGGATTCATTTGCTCTGATTTTGATCAAAAGACCAACTAGAGGTGCAAATGATTAAGTAATGAGCCTCAGAGGTGCTACGAACTGGATCTTGTAACCTTTTGACAGACCAGAGTGGCAGTCAGAAAACTTTCATTTCAGTTCTTTCAGCTCCAACACCCTTTCCTGTAAATATGTGCTATGAATAAGACTGAGTTTATTTTTAATCTACTCATTGTTTCTTTATGCGAAGCCTCCGTTGCCAGAGGAGGACTATCCCCCTGAGGATTACCCAGCTGCCCATCAGCCGGAGGCCCACGAGGAGCCCCAGGCCGCTGGACCTCCCACGCTCCCGAAAGAGTTCACCCTCAGCCACGTGAGCCGGACCTTCATTCCTCGGGCCACTCTCGACCGCAGCACCCCACCCGGATGGAACCTCACCGTGGAACCCAACGGGACCTGGGTGTTCACCAGTGAACACTCCCCAGATCAGGTACAGAGGTCCTAAATGCAGGTCCGGCTCAGTCAACCTGCCACACATTCCTGTTGGCCGAGGAAAGAAGCTCAGTCCAAAGTCAGACAGGGACATTTAGAAACAGCACTAATACAGAAAGTATTGTAAACCTCAGACAAACATCCCTTTGTTTGATCAATGTTCAACAACTAAATCATAATGCTACTATTCATACTAATACTAATACTATGACCATTACTTTTGATAATTAGGACTTCCTTTGACCCAAATGAGTTATTACATTATTATGCATAATGTAAATAGAACCAGAAAAATCTACTTTAAAGTATTTCAAATGTATCAATCCTTAACTAGGTCATTACACAGTGGTTGAATCATAAAACAAGCTAATTTTGAAATCAGTGTTTGCAGAATGTTTTTCAAAAGACACTAAAACAGCTACCTAAAATCAAAATGTGCATGACTAAGTGAAGGCTTTCATCGTCTGTTTTAGGCCATATGATTTAAAGCTGTGCTAATGGCATACAGAAACTGAAAACTAGTGTTTGATTGTTGTGGTTTTTGCCCCACATGACTCCAGAACCTGACCTCAAATAAACAAATATAAAAAAAAGACGTGTATTAAGCATGATACAGAGACTGATATGAAGAGTGAAACGTCCTTCTGGTCTAATGGATGAACATTTGAATAGATGGTTGATTTTTAGCACCAAAGCAAGCGTCTGATGCCTGGAGTTGGATTACAAGATATGGGGTTACATTAAAGTGTGTGAAGGCTCTCTTACTGCTGGTAAAAACAGATAACATTAAAAGCAACATATTACCATCCTTTTTGTCAAGGGCCTCTCTAATTTAAGTTCATGCTAATCACATTCTTCACGCTTTACAGCAGAAATAATCTGTTTACTAAACTCGAAACACTTTTAAAGATGACTGATCACACATTTTACTTCTTTAAAATGAAGATGGGGTTTAAATTCGTTGAATTACAAGGCATTTTATAGGGGTAATTTTTAGTGTGTGTGGCGTAAAAAAAGAGAGCTTGCTGTTTTTTCGAAAGCACACAGACAGCAAGTAGTTCTAATAAAGACGTTTCTGTTGTTTACCAGTGGATCAAGTCGGTGGATGAACGGGGGAAGACTTATTACTACCTGAGAGACGGCTCCAGATCTATGTGGAACCTGCCTGAGGTAAAAATCCCTCTCTTCCTCACAGACTCAAGCAGATGGCAATGCTTTTCTTGATGGGTGGGTAGTTTTTGGCCCCACAATTTCAGTTCATTCTTTGCTCTTTAGGCCCCCGGAGCTTACAGCCAGTCCAGAGTGGAGAATGGAGTCGAGGCAGATAATGTGTCAATTATCAAAAACTGGAGGCACACCATGGGGCCCGTTCAGTTCAGCTCCGCCCAAGATGACGGGGTATGGACACACTAACAGACACTCAGGCCTGCATGTGCATGTGTCACACATCCAGGGTGTGTCAGCCAGTTTAAATATAAAGCTTTAGTCATGCAGAAGGCGAACCTTTGGAGAAACTCTGTGTTTATCCGTCAACACCGAGAGGCTTGAACCCTTATTTGGCAAGGCAAATGAATTGCGTCGCTCTCTGATTGTCGGAGCAGCCCGAGGACAGGGACACAGAAGGAGGGGAAACATTTGTGCAAACACCTGGGAGTTCCTGGATACAGATAAGCCCTTGTGCTTTTCTTTAATACAGCATTGGAAAGGGTTCTAGATCAAGGACGCAGCACGGTTACAGTCGGTCTCATTTAGAGGACTCATTTTAATCTAAACTAAATGTTGAACCATTTAAAATAGGTTAAGATCTCCTAAAGTAGACACTCTTGTGCATCAAGTTATTTTGAAGTTGAGTTAAGATTTCTTTTTGAAGAACAAAATGAGGATATTATCATGCAAATAAAATACATGTAACATGATACAAGACATGCTGGATAAAGCAAACAAATATACGACATTATGATCAGAGCAGATCTTAACCATTTAAGATGTTCTCCAAGGAAAACAAGCAAATCCAAAAATGTCCTTTTACTGTTTCCTTTCAGAGGTTTGTCCCCACTCACAGGAGAAATACGTCAGACTACAGCAGTGACAGCTCCAGCACAGGAAATTCTCCCGAGACGCAGCATAACGTGAGTCAAACCCGTCTTTCCAGTCCCTTCACTTATGATGAACTCCTAAAATTATGCTTTCCATCAATCGGAGAAACCTGCCCCGGCATTTGAACGGTATCCTGTGTCTTTCTCTAAAGGCCGTGGGGTTTAGACCCTGGAGGAACCCCTATTATCTGACCTCCAGGTGGCTGCGCTATAACGTGGGTGGTTAGTCTGAGCCTGCGCTTGGTCCATAGATAGCTCGGCCTATCTATGACAGGTGGAAGGTGTGGCCTTTCATAACTTAAGAAGGACGTGTTGCACGCTCATTTGAATCGCTATCTTTCATCTGTGGCGTGATGCATGTCGCCTGCTGCAATAAGCAAAGCATCTGTTGTGTTGTTGTCCTGCTCTTTAGATTAAACGACACTTCCAGGAGTCACCTGGTGGTGATTATGCAGATGTTTTCAGCTGTAGACGAATCAGATTTAAACGCCAGACAACAAACAGAACCATTAAGCTCTGTTGTTTATCCAAACATGTATCCATCAGCCTTATTAGCATTACAAAGGAGTTGGACTAACCCCACATGCATCGTAAGTTAGCATCTAATGGAGGGTTGCTTTTTAAAGAGAAAACATATGCCAAAATGTATGATCAACTCCAGACATGTCCCAGGATGAGGTAAAATGGAGAGTGTACCCTGCTCGGTGTGTTTTAGTTCTTCTTTTAAGTATTTTGAACCTTTTTTGTTGTTTTGCTCAAAGTTTTTGGTTCTCTTGTTTTAAATTACGGGATTTTTTAAAACTTGTTCAGATCTGAAGTTTGAAAGGGCCGTGTCAAAACAGTGTGATGTTGTAAACCTGAGCTCAACATCAGACCCTGACGCCCTTTCCTCAGCCCATAGCCTCCGCTCATGTTTCCTGCAGAGGTCCTAAGCTCACCAGAACGCAACATACACGGTTGCATTTCTGTCTCTGAAAGTGAGCAGAGAGCCAGCTCGGTCCCCACTGAATAACAGACCTTTGTTTACAAAGACTCTCACAGAGAGTTTCGAATGTGCACAAAATGTACCTGAGGTTTCACTTTCAGGTTCGGCTCTGCTTGTTTTGTTCCTCAAACCTTTTTCTTACCACTTTTGACTTTCTCTCAGTCAAATCTTTCCCGAGACGCTCGCTCGATGACAGTGATCAGCCCCATATTCAAGAGGAGTGAGAGGTGTTTTTTTTCTTCAAACTGACACTCACTGTGGAAAATAAGTTTTTATTTCAGCTTCATTAATCCATAGGAGCTGTTAGTGCAATGCCTCCGTTTTGCTGAGATGTTCAGCTGCACAGTTCTGATGCTACACCTTGTGGTTTGGGTGCTGGAACACTTCCTTGAAAGTGACACTTGTGCAGGTGTGGCTGCAACTATAGAGCAATGTAGCAAAACGCCGGCCCTTTGCATTCAGATGCTCCTTCTGAATGCATTTATTGGGCCCGGGCCCCAAAGTTTTTGCTGTCCGTAGGCGGTGCTTTAGCCATTCTAGTTCACATGTGTTTGGTTTCTAAAGCTTTTCCAGAGTGTTCCCCGCTGCTCCCAACAGAAGATGTTTAGTCAGACTATCACTCACCGTTTTAATGTTGCCGATGTGTGTTCTGCCTCCGATTCCTTACGCACAGAGTGTGTCATTACCAAGGCTTTCACAATGTTCTCACAAAGCAACAGAAATTAGAATATCAACAGAGAAATTTAACAGAAGAAAATGCAAATACGCTCTTTTCACCAGCTATTCAGACAGAATAGAATACAGCACTGACAGACTCTGTCAAGATCCAATTGATGCTTTTATGTCTTATCGATCTTTATAATAATATGATAATATATTTGGCATGATTTAATGGACCGTATGACGCGTTTAAATATATCGTGCATGCATGGCTTTCTAAGAGCTGATCAGAACTGAGTTCAGAACCATCTCATATAACACTGAGATTCAGTCCGAGAAGAATTCCAACATGTTTTCCATTTCTATATGCAGGTGCAGAATTTGGAGAAAGCTGGAATCCTCAACAAAACAAAAGTGTGTGAGAATGGAAAGAAAGTGAGGTAAGCAACAAATCCCGCCTGCACTTATCAATAGGCTCGACGGCATGTGGCGGAATCCAGAAACCCCTTTTTTTATTTGACTGGTTTACAAATTTCTTTTAGGAAAAACTGGACTCAGACATGGACGGTGCTGCATGGGGGAATGCTGACGTTCCACAAAGACCCAAAGTCTGCCGCAACAGGTGCCGCGGTACGTTGCACTCACCGTTTATTAATGATACCTGTAGGCTTTAATAATTATTTTCATAATTCAGTACATTAATAATGGGTTTAAAAAGGGGCGTGGGTCTATTTAGCGTCATCACTAATCTTTTTCTTAAAACCTATTTGAATAGTTACTCTTTTTTATTCAAACAGAACCAGGCTTTGGGTCATGTTTCTTATCTGTAATGATAAATTAAACAGAAAAGCGGCCTGACGCCGGCTGATGTGTCACAGCGAGGCGTGACACGGTTCATGAGCCCAGTCTTTTGTTTAGCACTGCTCGTCTATTGGAATGTTGGGAAGTCAGTTTTTTTTTTTTTTTTAACACAGCTGTGTACTTTTAACCCCCCCACCCAACAGAACAAGACCAATCAGATAGTTCCAGAGTTCACGGTGGATCTTAAAGGAGCGATGATTGGCTGGGCCTCGAAGGACAAATCCAGCAAAAAGAATGTTTTAGAGGTGTGTTTCATTGCTCGACGGGGAACACAATGTGAAGTGTGCCTTTTAATGAGCGCTTTAACTTGAGCAAACAGAGGTTGTGCTCGCGTCTTTTTGTGGCTCCTCGATGCACAGTTAAAGTGGTATTTCATGTTTCTATCGCCAGAGTTGGAAAAAATGTATTATGTTTGAAGATTTTTTGACAAATTTCTTTCCAATGATCCAAAGTTGAATAGTTTTTTCCCTTCAATCTAACTTTTGTCTTCCCCTAGCTAAAGGGAAGGAACGGTGTGGAGTTTCTGATACAGTATGACACGGAAAGCATCATCAGTGACTGGCACAAAGTCTTAATGGACACCATACGGCAGCTTGTAAGTCCTCATCTTGTCCTGTACTGATAACAGAAAATAGTCAGAAAACCATAGGCAGACTTTTTAATATATATATTTTATGTATATTTAACTTTTCTATTTTATATGCTGGATCTTTAAGCGCTGAATTTCACTCAGAGTTTAGTCAAACATGTTGCTTTCTGGGTCTGTGTCCATCAGGAATACCAGGACCATCATTCAGAGGAGGAAGAGGGAAACCTTTATGAAAAAATCGGCAACTCGGAGCGGGAAGAGAAACCAGTAGACGGCATTGACAAGCGAAAACGTGAGCTGAAAGCATTTGAGCTTCCTTTACGGCTAAACGAAAACTGTATTGATGTAAATGTGTTGTGATTGACAGAATTCTGATGACCCTGCCCCTGTCGTCCCTCTTTTCAGCTTCAAGACCGAGTGTCGCGCCAAGTCTCAGCTCTGCAGGAGAAACGGACCCGAAGAAGGTTCGAACCAAGCTGATGAAGTTCCTCCTGAAGCGGCCCACGCTGCAGTCAGTCAAAGAAAAAGGCTACATTAGAGGTAAGATCGAGTAGGATTAGTTCTTTGGCAGGCTTAGGCTGACTGTAATAAGTCCAACTGAAAGTAAGGCAATCGCCCACCAGCTCATGAATACAGATATTTCTGCTAATGCAGAACCAAAGCTCTGGTTTTTATTTCCCCCATAACCTGTCAGGCCAACCAATCCACTGAGCAGTGAAAAGCCCGGTCAGATTTGAAAGATCGCATCCCAATAAAATGCTTTCAAAGGCGATGAAGATAACGAAACCCATCGGTTCTATTTTTATGACTACTGAAAAACTGGAAGTGGAAAACCCCAGGTTAACCACTGAAGTGGTTAGAGCCTACCAAAAGGAAGTAGAAAGTAGGAATCCAGCCACACGGACACCGGTGGACAAGGCTCATTGCTGCCTGTTGGGGATAAGCTCTAGGCCAGGTTTGATCATGCTCGACTGGGTAAAAAAGGCACTCTGCTGCTCATACTGCTAATGAAGCTAACTCCACCACTGAAAGTTCCTACAATGGACATGTTAGCATCTGGGGAGGGAGCATTTGCAGAAGCATTTGTAAGATGTTTGGCACAAACAAGTCCAGTATGTGGAGGCTCAACCTTCCAGGGTTTAAAGGTTTTGCTTCTGATAGCTTTGAGTCAAACAGAAAGGCAGCGAGTTAGAGGTCAGGTGGTGGTTCAGCTGTGGCTCAGTGCCCAATGGCTGACCTAATTTAAGGCAACCGATTAGCATTCAGCGTTTCGCAAGAGACGAGGATTGATGAGCAGGGATTTCTGTGCATATTTCTCACGACGCTAATTCCGATTTTACGAGTTTTACTGATTTTTTTTTACCATCTCAAATAGCCGTGTAGGATGCCAGTGCTAATGGTCATCTCACTTCCTGCAGAAAATGTGTTTGGCTGTCATCTAGCCACGCTATGTGCACAAGAAAAGACCACAGTGCCCAGTTTTGTGGAGAAATGTGTGAAAGCAGTGGAGAGGAGAGGTAAGCGCCTGCTCGTTTCACGACTAAATTCCATCCCATCATCACGGGAGCTAACCCCACGTTATGCCCATGTGTTGATTCACAGGCTTGGACATTGATGGCCTGTACAGGGTCAGCGGGAACCTGGCTGTCATACAGAAGCTACGCTTCAAGGCCGACCACGGTAAAATCAACCCGTTCCGAACAGATTTTTGAGTTATTAAGTGGAATTACAGGGAATTTACATGCCGAAAGCTGGCCTTCGGTAGTTAAGATTATGCAACAGCGCCCCCTGCTGGGTCTTAGTGTCACGTGCATCTGTTTGTTTTGAAACAGAGGAGCTGGACCTGGAGGACGGTCAGTGGGAAGACGTCCACGTTATCACTGGAGCTCTGAAGTTGTTTTTCCGAGAGCTTCCTGAGCCTCTTTTCCCCTTCAGCCACTTCAATAAGTTCATCTCAGCCATCAGTGAGCAGATTTTTGACTGATATCCCCAAATTCTAACACAAGCGATACATTTAGTGAAAAGCAATTAACTGATCGTCGTTTTCTTTACTCTGTTGCTTCATTTTAGGAATTCCTGATTACAAATTAAAGCTGTCCTGTGTTTATGAGCTGGTCCAATCACTTCCAGCTCCAAACCACGACACTATGGAGCTGCTTTTTGGGCATCTACACAGGTTTGTTTAATTCTTGGTTTCACGTGAGAAATAAACATTTGTTTCCAGAATGTTTGACAGTTTTCTGTCTTAAGAAGTTTTTATTTGAATGGCATCTGTCAAGTTACAAGTTCAAAGTGCTTTTTGGATACCGCCCAAACTTGAAAAAAGGATAAACCTAAAACTTAATGCCGACATTACTGAGGCTATCATGACAGACGTGATGTCTGATGTGTTTCCTGGGTATGACAGTTTGTTCCAGCAGTCAGTTAAAGGTAATTTTTCTGTCTTTAGGCTGCATGTTGAGCAGAGCTCTTTCTTTTCAGTTGGTTTGTCTCTGCTGAGAGTCTGAACAGGGTGTCCCAAAGCTGCCTGCCTAAAGACGTTTGTTCCTCTTGGCGTAATCTCATTTGTCAGATTCCTTCTCTCTTGTGTCCTCTCCCCGTCCCCCCCGCTTTTGACCTGGAAATCAATCACTGCCAAATATGTTTAAAGGATTTCTCACTTTCTAAATTGTACCTGTAGGAGAGGGGAGACTTTCCGGAGTGCGTCCTTGACAGAAGTTATTTTATACCATCTGAAAGAGCACAGAGTGCTTATATTACACTGTAAACCGACTTCAAAGAAATTCTACTGAGTCACAAACAGGTTTAAAGCCCCTCTGACAGAAACAGGACATCTCATTATGCCAAATACTTGTTACCTCGGCTCCTTTCTCTAGTGTGGGAAGGGTAGCGTGTTATGAGAATGAAAAAAAATCACCTCAAAGGGGTCACTTTTTCAGTGACAGTCATAGTTTACGGGGTCTAAATATAAACTGTTTGGGGCTAAAGGATTCCTCTGGTTTCTTCTTGGGTTTGTTTATGAAGGTACTTCATTTAAAACTTATTTAGGGCCACAAATGACTTTGGCCAAAGGCTGTTTTCCTTCATAATTTGTATTTGATGAGACATTTGCACAGGCTGAGGGATTTGACATGACCCCAGTCAAGCAATGCAAATAGATACACAAAACATTAACCCTAATTTTATGATAAAACAACACAAAACAGATATAATCAACAACTCAAAAACAAAGCATACACGAACGGAAGATGACGGCCACATATTAAAAACACAATGTTTTTTTTCTTCTGTTTTTTGAGTAACAAATAAATTAGCTAATTGAAGTAACAATAAATGACTGTGCGTTCCAGGTCATGATTAAAAAAAAAAGCGGAACATCAACAGCTTCTCTCATAATTTTTCGTCATTTCTCCCACAGGGTCATTCAGTGTGGGGAGGACAATCGCATGACTGTACAGAACGTGGCCATAGTGTTTGGCCCCACGCTGCTCCGGCCAGAGATGGAGTCAGCGAACATCACCATGCACATGGTCTTCCAGAACCAGATAGTGGAGTTCATCCTTAACGAATACGAGCGCATCTTCCACCTCAGCTAAGGCTGCCTCCAGCGTGGACCTGAGCGAACATACGAACACGCTGTAGTTATTTAAAGTGCTCCATTTACTTTTGCGGGCACATCAGCAGCTTCAGTGCAGCGTCTAAAATGAAGCTCGTCTCATAGGAATCAGTTAAAGTGGCCTTCAAGTTTAACGAGACTAGATAAGGGATCTTCCGGTTGTCTTTGCTGAGAATCTTCAACGCATGTTTAACCACTATCTTGTATTTTCGCTTTAGGAGGCTCACGCTGTTAAAATGTTGTTTGACAGTATTGTACGATTGTCGAGCCACTCAAGTGAAGACTGATGTGGTCTGGTTATGTGTGTCTTTGCTGAGCTGAGCTTGTTTCTTGGGTGAAAGGACTGCTTCATATTGTTTTTATTCTTGGAGACATTAGCTGTTTATTCCTCTGCTCGTTGATATTTAATTTTGTTTAATTTCTCCAAATTTCTGTGACAGTAGAGGTCAAACCTGAATGAATGCATTAATGCTGTTTTAAACAAATGATGAGTGATTGCTCTTTAACTTTATCTCAAAGCATGGAAAGACTTAATTGTTTCTTTGAATTTGCACCATATCACTTATTAAGTAATTGAGATTAATTTCTAATATTGTATTTTTTTCATTCTCTGTCTCCCTTTTACCCACATTTTTTGTTGTAATATAGAATTGTGTAATATAAGAATATTAATACCGACATCTGACTCTGGATTAGATAATGAGATGGTAGAGTACTTGTGCAGTCTGTAGATATTTTTCTTAGAGTTCTAAAATACATTTTTCAATCATTCTGTAGCAGAAGGGGCTATAATAAAAGTAGAATTATGAACAAGCAATTCTCTCTTTTTGTGACAGTTGAAAATGAGATTAACCTGACAATATACCAGAGGTGGATGTTACAATAAATGTATGAACTGTAAATAGTAATGGATGGCATATTTATGCTGAAAGTTGGTGGAAATGCACAAAATCTTCCTTAATAAAATAACTTTGTTAAAATCTGTTTCTTGGTTATTGTCTGCATAAGAATAAATGGTTCTCATATACCATTAATAAACTGATATTAAACTCAGATTGTATTTATTAGATATATCAGAACATTGCACAACATTGCACCAACCAAAATTCTCTATTCAAACTTTATGCATCTCAGAAAATGTATAATGTTGTCAGATAGGTAAACATATATGTAATATACAGTTTCTTAACTGCAACTTGACCTTGATTACCACATTTAGCGTTTTGCATATGAAATACGTGAAGGTTCAATCTCAAATATGTATTGTTACTCACAGATGTTAACAAAAGAGAACATCTGTGTTGGTGTGTGTTGAGTTGGTTGTCTTTCCCCCACAAGCCAGTTATTCTAATTCTCCAATTTAAACAGCAAAGTTAGTTTCTGAAATATTAATACAGTCTATTTTAAAAAAATTATATATTAAAGCAAATCTAACAGAAAGGATGCGGTATTTATATTGAGTTGGTGTGTTCAGAATTGAATCAAAGTTACATTGCATATTCCTCTACAATGTGAGTCTCTGATGTTAAGTAGCAGTTTTTTATTTTGAAGTAGTAAACAAGTAGTAAAAACCTCTCCTGTGTTTCTTTTTATAACAGTAAACTCTCATTCGTCCAGTTGATTTTTTTCTCGTTAATGTTTTGGTTGCTTGTCGAGATTTGGGATTTTCAGCCTTTTACAGTTCGTGTACTCAGTCGGAACTATTTGAGGGGTGGGACGCGCTTCCGGAAGCTGTCAGCTGTGAACACCGCATCAACTGCAATGAATTTTGAGTGGCCCTGGCAATATAATTTCCCACCGTTTTTTACGTGAGTCAGATATTTATGCAGCAGGTTTTAAGATGTTCGTCACAGTACGATTGTTTGAATAAAACCTTTGGCGTTATAGGCGCTGGTTTGAGACAAAGTATCACGTTAGCAAGCGATTTGGCTAGAACACATATTGCTAGGGAAGTGGATTGACACAGAGGGTTTCTAAAGTTAAAAAGAAGAGTTTTTTTTGCTTGTTTCAACGTATTTTTAAAACTCAATGTCGTGCAAATGCGTTTAGTGATAAATACTGAACAAGATACTGTAAGACTTTTGATGGAAAATAGTTTAGCTGTGTGTTGTTTTGATCGGATTTGCTACCAGCTAACGACAAATCTGATTTAAACACCGACATTTTAACCACTGTGTTTGCCAGCTCTTGCTGATTATTTAGATTTAGCATGTTTTGGTGTTCACTTCAAATACGAATGCATCAAAAGTGAGTAAAGATGATGATGTTAATGTGTGAAGAAAATTATTCAAGATTACACCTGTTGTCAAACAGAAATGTGTGAATCCTTTGATATTTATTCGTAGATCATTCTAAAGAGTGTGGAGACTTAGTGAACATGACAGTTGCTAAATTAAATGAAGATAATGGTCTTTGACTTTTGAAATAACCTACTATCTTCACACCAGACTAAAGCAAATGAAACAGTCAAGCCTTTTTATACATGTTTGACAGATGTAAACACATACTGTTCATTCTGAAAGCACATCTATGAGTACAATACCGCATTATTGTTAATACTGTTGAAGGAAAGGTCAACAGAACCTAAATAGATCACATAATTTCATTAAAACACCTAATTAATTAATTAAAGTTCTTTAAGGTCATAGTGGTTGTCTTGGACATCCGTTGCAAGTTAAGCTGGCAGATTTGAGGGTGTTTGCGGTGCCGTGACAGTGATTGTGATTTTTTTTTCCCCCACTCGCCTTCTTGTGGACAGGTTACAGCCAAATGTTGACACGAGGCAGAAGCAGCTGGCGGCCTGGTGCTCGCTGGCTCTGTCCTACTGCCGGCATCAAAAGCTCTACACCCTGGACGTCATGGAGGCGCAGGAAAGCCCCGTGTTCAACAACAAGAAGATAGAACGTATCCTTAAAGTCCACACTGAAGCAGCCAAAGCCAGATTTCATAGCACAGGCTGTTGTTTGAGAAACAGATCTTTGTTATCTCTCATGACAGAGCGGCGTTAAGGCTGCTGTGGAAGAGTTTATCGGCTCCTTTCTTTATTGGGAAAGATGAAATTCCACCCACAGGATATTAATGTTGGCTCAATTTACAGTGACCGTCTGCCTTATTGACCTTTAAGTTCTGGGCTAACTCTGCTTCTCCCTTTCTCATCCCTGCTGTTGCCGGATTAATTTAGCTCCAAGTGATTTTACTTTAAGGTTTCCGTTTTCCGCCCAATGAACAAATTCAAACCTCTTGTTTTCCCTTAATACAGTCCCAGGAAAGCTATCAATGGAAGCTATCCAGGTTGTGTTTGAGGAACTGAGGAAAAAAGGTAAATCCCCCTTGATGTTGTCTCGTTTTTGCAGGGATTAGAGTATTGGTAATCAACATTTTTCTAATGTCTGACTTTAGGGAATCTCGAATGGCTTGACAAAAACAAGTCTCGGTGTTTAGTCATGTGGAGACGACCGGAGGAATGGGGCAAGTTGATCTACCAGTGGGTGAGTCTATTAGGGATAGATGGAGATGGACAGTAAAGAAGGAAGTGTTTTTTAAAGGATAAAAAACAAATGTTTGCTTCTATTATGTGTAATCCCTCATTTTTAATGCTATTATGATCTAGAGACATACAAAATAATAGCAGGAAAAACTCAAACATCTACTCCCTGTAACCCTGCCCCCCTTCCACGCATTTATCACCATAAAATTAGCTGGGTTACAGTCCGTTTTAGAGCTATAACCTGATTTCCCGAGCGTCATACCAACATGAGACTGGGCTTATGTAATTGCGGACATTTAATTGGGGATTATTTATTTTTTCCCCCTCAGTTAGAATTTTTTTTCCCCTAAGGAGAGGCAGCCGGTTTTTAATCGGCAGGAGTATCTCTGAGGCATCAGAACAACAGAGGCGTCGTCTGAACCAAACTGAGGCGAAATCCAATTCCACCCCTCATGACTTTAAAGTCCAGGTGACGATAAAATCGTTATTTGAGACTTTGGGACGGTATGGAAAAGCCGCGTGGTGTGTCACCACCGCTGACAAATTTGATAAGTAATGCCCCCCAAATAAGATCAATGCCACGGTGGAAATGTGCTCCCTCACCGCTTTATATAATCATTCATGTTCATGGGTATAACTGGATTTCTCTGAACCGTCAGGGCCTCAGAAGTGCAGTTCGGGGTTTTCGGTGTCATAAAGGGGATTTGGTTCGTCGCCATGGTAACTTGGCAGGTTACGGCCGCCCTCCATGCACGTCTGTTTTCTCGTCACATACGAAAACAAACACGAGGCATCAATTGTCGGGCTGTCCTCTCTCTTTCCAGTTTCCCTGAAGAATTACAGGCCATTTTAATCCTTTGGTTTTAAGTTACAAGCGTTTAAGGAGATATGAGATATGTTATGTCAGAGGAGGGAAATTAGTTTTTTTTTCTAAATATTTAAATGCAGGATTAAGAATGTATTAAATACTCATGAATTTTAAGTGAAACAAAGAGGCAAAAAGCCCATAGAAAGGTCTGTCTGTTCTTTGTTTTTTTTTGTGTAAAATACCTTTTCCACATAAACATAAACATAGGAACACTTTGTGCATGTGTGTATGTTAAGATTGACATAACAATAATGGCTCCTGGTGTCAGTGTGCATATAAACAGCTTCTGTTTTTGTAAGCTAACATCCGACTTCTGTCACCCCAGGTCATAGACTGCACACACACACACACACACACACACACACACACACACACACATATATATACATATATATATATATTTGCAATATTCCATTTAACCATATAAATTCCTAGAAAATCTATCAAGTGCTCAAGTGTAAAAGAAACATGGTCAATTTGCATCTATAAGGCATTTATGAGGCATCTATAAGGAGCTTTTGTGGGTATGTGGACGTTATGAAGCCCACATGGGCCGAGGCCCAAAACAAAGGCACATCAAAGCAAAGCGGGGGCCTGAACTCCTCTGTCCAGCTCCTACTGCACATGTAAAAACAGCTGTTTGCTTCGGGGCAGTGAGGGCGGGCTCTCTTTCTCTTGTGTGTCATCGTGTTTGTCAATGTTTTAGGGTTTGCTGAAGATATGCGCTTGCCCGGAGATGGCCTATTAGTTTATCAGCAGTTATTCAACCCCTCTGATAAGTGTGTGATTGGGCTCCAGGTAGAAGCATCCCTCCATCACCTCCACCTTCTCCCGGTATAGAAATAGTTGGGGAGGCCACTGGTCTGCAGAGGGTTTCTAAAGGCGGTGGAACAAGGCTGGGACTGGGACTTTCTCCGGCTCACGCTAAGGTCGAAAAGTTGCTGCAAAAAGATCAGAAAGGGGAGGAAGCAGCAACTACTGTCACATTGTATCAACTTATGAACTTAATATCTTTCACTCACAAAACAAACAAAACTCACTTTTGTTTTCCAGAACAAAAACAAAACTTTTCTTAGCCACCACAGAAACAAAGGATTTCTGAAGTGACCATTGTTTTTTTTCTATTTAACGTTATAGGTTTCCAAAAATGGCATGGTCAACTCGGTTTTTACACTCTATGAGCTGTCCAATGGCGATGACACAGAAGGGGAAGGTATGGAATCCTCTAAAGCTTTCTCTGGTTTGAAATGCTGCCAAAAGTCCTGTTGTTTTCAACATAACTCATAATATGAAATGTGCTAAAACCAACCAGGTTGTAACCTGTTGTTTTAGCTCATTTGGTATTCTTTGTCCCATTTCATCTTCCACTGTAAGTTTCAAAAAGGTATTCCGTTTATTGAAAGCATTCTTGTCTGCAGCAGAGGTCAGGAAGCTCTCAGTTTGGAAAGTCTGGGAAAACTTCTGACAATGGGCCGTGAGGTTCCAGCCTGTATCTAAAGCAGGAATTTGCGGTTTTTGTCTGTTTACCTTCGCAGAGTTCCACGGTTTAGAGGAGTGGATGCTGCTGCGCTCCTTACAGGCGTTGCAGACGGACGGCAAAGCAGAGATCATCACCATGGATGACGGAAAAGGGGTCAAATTCTTCTGAAACGCTGCTGGAATCCACACAACGTACTCTGCTGGCACATTGGGAGCTGCGGCCATCCGATGCTGCACCGGGGGCCACCTGGACGCGCCGCCCTGTAGTTGTTGTCGTTGCCTTTTGGTTCAAAGCCTCCTCTTTCTGGAAGAGAACCATTATCATTTCTGTGTGTCTGGGTGGGGGTAAAAAAAGAGCTGTCACCGGTGACATTTGTTGCCATTTTAAAACATGCAATGAGTATCAGGGGACTAATTTGTATCGTATCTGAGTTCTTAAAGGGGAAAGCTTTCCCCAAAAGCTGTAAACTTAACGTCTTCATTCATGTTTAATGCAACTAGTTTTATTTCCATTCTCTGTGTTAACATGTTTACTGTGTCGAATTAGCCGTGGAGCCTAGCTTAGCCGTTCTTCCTCCGTTCCAACCACACGTCCCGAAGAAATCCCACAACTCAACACCAGAGGGACTTTGCACTCTCAGCATAAACACTTCCAGCAGAGGAGCGCCACAGAGACTTCAGCCAAACCTGGTTTGAGTGTAATATCATAGGGCACTTCATGTGCGGATCACTATCATCCCCTCATTGTGCTGTGGCTAGTCTGGCACACCTGTTTTGTCTCTCTCTTTCTCTCTTTTTTGTCCAGATTCAACCTCTTTTTTTTCATATCCAGTAGGAAAATAAATTAGAAATTTGTTACATTTGTTTGCAGTGGATTTTTGACGCCTTGAAAAGCGGGTTCTGGCGGTTTGGACATTGTGTGAGCGTGTCGGGGGGGGGGGGCAGGGGCAGAAGCTCTGCACCGTGCGCCTACGTGCAGAATGGGGCCGCAGAGATGGGAACCGCAGCTGTACTGAACACTGGCTGGTCCACTCGCATCATGTGCTCTGTGTTCCAGCCTGAGGATGATACAGCTCCACTCTGTGTGTGTGTGTGTGTGTGTGTGTGTGTGTGTGTGTTTGCTGATAAAAACTCTTGTGGGACAGGTGGGGCTCAGTGTGGCCTTGGCTGATAGTGGTGTCCCGTTTCAGGGGCAGCTGCTCCCAGCAGCGTGGCTCCCCCTGCAGGCCGGGCCGCAGCAGCTCAGGACTCTATTTTTGGGCCTCTTATCTTCTTCATTCAGGCTTTGAAAAGGACAGTGAGAAGTTAGTAGTAGAATGACTCATCAGTGATATCTTAATTCCAAAGAACTGGTTAGTTTGGTGCTAATTAGAGGCTGCTGTTTCGCACAGATTAGTGTTCAACGAATAGACTGTGGCACAAATTCATATTTCCAAGGCAGAGAGGTTGCAAAATGCTCATTTAAAGATGGTACATGAGACTACTGCCCTTCTAAAGTTTTATGGCATCATAACTGACCTCAAAATAAGGGTCAAATATAACCCAGATTGTCTTATTTTAGATGGGCCATGGGACTTATGTCGAATTTTTACTTCTTAAAGAACCAAACTTCTTAAATTTGGGGGTTTAAAGGTTGCTAGTTGACCAGCACTGTTCTAATCAGATTGCAATTACTCGCTCTGAGCGCGTCAAAGCTGCGAGGGGCGGAGTCGGGAGCGCGCACGGGGAGCGCTCAGGACGCACAACCCACCAGAGCTTTGTTGATATTGGCAGCTCCGTTCTTTCACGGGAGGTTATGGCTTAAGTCTTCGGGAGGAGAACACACCAGGAGAACAAGGCGAATTATTTGGGCGAACAAATTGTGCGTCGATTTGCGCGTAAGAAATGTTCCCTCACAGCGGCCGTACCGGGTAAGCTGTCTTCTGCTTGTATGTTGACTTCTAGACGTTATTTTAAAGGCTGATACCATCTACAGGTGGTGGCAGCTTCTATGTTTTGGACCGTACTAGTCGGTTCCTATCAGTTGTTTTGTGGTCAGATTTTGCGTAAAGCTACTGACTTCAGTGTCATCATGCAAGTCGATTTTTAAGTCTAACGGTGCTCCATTTCTGCATTTAGACTCTAAACCAAGAAGCCGTTTAACCTGCCACCATGTCTCACGCGCAAGTTGAGATCCCAGGACGCGGTTTCCCCGGCCTGTCCGTGGAAATGACCGAGGACTGCCTGTCCCGAGTCCCGTCCATGCTGAGGACGCACGGTCTGGGCGCACGGAGAAACTCGTACGGGCTCCAGAAAATAAGCATGGACATCGACTCGCCTTTATACAGCGGTGCCCTTTCCAAAGCTTTGTCCTGGTCCGCGGAGAACATCCCATCACTCGTGGAGTCCAGAGCGGAGGAAGAAAAAACCGACGACACTCCGCCGTCCTCCTCCTCTCCCGTCTCCAGCCCGGGGACCAGCTCCAGCACGCCCGCGGGGAGCCAGGAGTCCAGCACCGGGTCCCCTGGTGGGAAATGGGACCCGGAGCAGAGACCCGGCGCCCAGGAGGTCAGCTCGGACTCGGAGAACGAACTCCACAATAAACCAAAACAGATCTCGGCTCGCATCACGTTCGATAGCCAGTGGGAGCAGGAGGAGAAGGAGGACGTGGAGACCAAAGCGGTGGCCACCTCGCCGGATGGAAGATACCTCAAATTCAACATCGAGATCGGAAGGGGGTCTTTCAAGACGGTCTATAAGGGACTAGACACGGAGACGACGGTGGAGGTTGCATGGTGTGAGCTACAGGTAGGTGCTCAGATTCTGTACATCAGCACATTTACCACTCAGAAACACTCCCTACTCAGGAAGCAATATCACTTATTTCCATTTCGAAAGCAAAGTGGGTGTGTGTTGGATCCCAGGTGTCCCCCTGGACATTCATCCCTGAAGGGATCTCAGGTCAAACCCACTGTCTGAGACTTTCCCTGCTTTACTGCCCCACTCCACTCTAATTCCTGCCCGGGGGCACCGGGGTTGATGTGGAGCTGCTAATCTAGTGTGTGTTATTCCTTGCTGACCTTGAGTCGGGCTGTGTCGAGCCCTCACACACTAACCCAGGTCAGTGTTGGCGGTCAGCCCCAACTGAACTACTCTTCCTAGCATGATCCCCTCTAATCTCTTTTTTTCATTAACAGCCGGTGACACAGAGGCTCTCTAAATGCAAACCACCAGCGCGGTGGCAGTGGGTCGTTTATATGCAGCTCTAATGATCTATCAACTGCGTTCTCATGTGAGATGGATGCATTTGGGCGTCCACATTTTCATCCTGTGAGATGGAGCTCTCTCGTATTGTCATTAAACCGACTGGTAATTTGGTGTAGCAGGCAAACCGGAGCATGGTGGCTGCTGTAAAGGTGTTGGGATGTGTTTTCGACTTGGCACGGAGACATCAGACAGCCTGCCGAACAGCTGCCTCTTCCCTTGCCTACACGGTTTCGATAGCCCAGTGGTGGCTTTAGAGATTTAGGCCTTAACTCCACCCCTTAACATTTGCCTTTGTGTGTTGGTGTCGGTATATGGGAGCCACGTGAGCCTTGTCGGTCACTGGCGTTGAACCGATGACCTGAAACCGGCCTTTATTCTCATTTTGACGCGTGCGTTTTAGAGATGTCAACAGTTGTTATTAGACACGGTTAATGAAAAAGACAGAGGTGGCTTTTGACTGGCGTTTCAACCCCGCAGAGGGCAGACATTTTGGTCTTGCGTACAGGGATGGGAACTCATCTGAGACTCAGACGGGGACGTGTGCCTCGAGAGCCCACCTGCCAGACTAGCAACAGGTGTCTGCCGGGAGGAAGTGGCTATAAAGACACTCCCCGGCTCCTCTGAGGGGCAAAGCATACCTGTTACCATCACACTCGCTGGAGATCACTCCCTCTGGTCGGACACTAGTGGGAGTTCATCGCCATTCACAGCCCGACATTTAAAGATTTTAATTTCTTCGAAGTGAGAGAGCTGAGCTGTTTTTTGTCAGCGCTTCTGCGACCATGTGCCATTTTGGAAACAAGCATGCTATTTCATCTCTTCACTTCAGACATGAGCCCAGTTAAGCTCCTTAATCACCCCTAATAAGCTTAAAGATGGCCGTTGTTGATATGGTTACTGTTGTGATGAATTAACCTCACAGAGACAGGCTCAGTTCCTTTGGCATTTCTGAGCAGAGAGCAGCCCCCTGTCCTTCCCAGGAGCCACTGGAAACACAAAAGTTTCCTGTTGGTGGCTAAACACCATCACGCCCGTAATGTTGATGGAGCAGCAATTGAAGGTGCGTCATCGCAAGTCAAGTAGAAATGCCTTAAGCTCTTCTAAATATGTATTACACAGATTTAGGTGTAATCCACAGGAAGTTAAAATAAGTAGTCGAAGAGACGGGGCGGGGGATTTAAACCATATCCACTTCACCAAGCTCCCGCTTATAAAGATCATTATTTAAATGTATTCAGATTCTCATTGCAAAATATAGGAAGGTGTCCTCCAGAGCTACGGTGTATTGCCAGCAGTGTAGCACTGAATGCAGACCTGTTTGGGCAGTGTCCATAAGGACTTTTTGTACTAGCACACAAAAAGTAAATACAACATTTAGATTCCTCCATTACATGCGACAGCAAAGTGCAGCCAGGTGGCTGAAGTGCACCAGAAAGAGCTTTGTGTCTGCTCGTGCCCAAAAAAAACTCTCAAATCTCTCAAGTTAAAGCTCTCTCTTACCATCACATAATATCTAAACACACTAAAACTCCTCGGTAGTGTTACTAGATATTTTATGACACTTTTAAGTCAGCAGTGGAATGTTGACCTATTTCTACTTTCTCGCACTTCACTGTACTGTTTTACTATAAAACATCTTTCAAATGAGTCACGAGAAGCCTTCGAAGTACTTGAGAAATGTTTGAATGCTGCTACTGTTTTACTTTTACTGAAAACAGAGCATTTCTAACTCCACTTCTGAAACATTTGCTCTAGTAAAATATTTAAATGTCTCTGTTCAACACCTGTAAAACTGTCATTTAAGCCATAGTTAACTCCTGCTGTCGGCAGCATGAGAATTTTCTGCTTTGTCATTCAAATACTGGTAAAAAAAGAAAATGACAAAAACGGGTATAGAAATGACTTTTTCTTTAAAGTGTTAACATGACAGATAGATAGATAGATAGATAGATAGATAGATAGATAGATAGATAGA